AAGATGCTCCATGCTCATCTTGTATTTTCCTTGCCCCACACGTAGAATCAAGTATTTCTCCAAAGAGCCTTGTTTCTTTTTATTAGAAAATGGTATTTTGAAACCAAGATCTGAGGAACTGAGTATTCTTGTTGCTATTGGGGTGTGACTGCTTTTGGACTCCAGTTTTTTGTTTGTTTGCTTTAATTTTTATTTATTTTTAAAGATTTATTTATTATTTATTTTTGGCTGCATCGGGTCTTAGTTGCAGCATGTGGGCTCTTTGTTGTGGTGCACAGGCTGTTCTCTAGTTGTGGCATGCAGGTTTTCTCTTCTCTAGTTGTGGCGCTTGGGCTTCTCTAGTTGTGGCGTGTGGGTTTTCTCTTCTCTAGTTGTGGTGCGCAGGCTCCAGGGCACGTGGGCTCTGTAGTTTGCGGCGCACAGGCTCTCTAGTTGAGGCGCATGAGCTCAGTAGTTGTGGTTCACGGGCTTAGTTGCCCTGGGGCATATGGGATCTTAGTTCCCTGACCAGGGATGGAACCCACGTCCCCTGCGTTGTAAGCATTGTAAAGCGGATTGTTTACCACTGGACCACCAGGGAAGTCCAGTACTTCATTCCTTTTAACTGCCACATAATATTCTAGTGTATGGATATATACCACCTTTTGTTCATTTCCTCAGGTGATGGACATTTGGGGTTGTTCTACATTTTGTCTATTATGCTGCTGTGAACATTTCTGTACAAGTTCTCATGTGGATGTAATGTTTTCATTTCTCTTGGACATATACCTGGTAGTGGACTTGCGTGGTACATGGTTAACTATGTTTATTCTTTCAAGGAAATGCTAGACTGTTTTTCAAAGTGGCTATACCATTTTGATCCCTTCCAGCCATGTATAAAGCATTCTAATTTCATGACATCCTGGCCAAACATTTTGTTTGTTTGTTTAATTAATTAATTAATTAATTAACTTTTGGCTCTGTTGGGTCTTCGTTGCTGCGTGCAGGCTGTCTCTAGTTGAGGCAAGCGGGGGCTACTCTTTGTTGCAGTGCGCGGGCTTCTCACTGCTGTGGCTTCTCTTGTTGCAGAGCAAGGGCTCTAGGTGTGTAGGCTTCGGTAGTTGTGGCTTGTGGGCTGTAGAGCGCAGGCTCAGTAGTTGTGGCACACGGGCTTAGTTGCTCCGTGGCATGTGGGATCTTCCCGGAGCAGGGCTCGAACCCGTGTCCCCTGCATTGGCAGGCAGATTCTTAACCACTGCGCCACCAGGGAAGCCCTGGGCTCATTTTTAAATTGAGTTATTTCTCTTTATTACTGAGCTATAAGCATTCTTTACGTATTCTGGGTACATGTCCCTTATCAGATAAATGATTTGCAAGTATTTTCTCCCATCCTGTGGGTTGTCTTTTCATTTTCGTTATGGTGTCTTTTATTCCTTCTGATATTCCTATTACATGTATCTTACACTTCTTGTAGTTGTCCCACACTCCTTGGATATTCTGTTCTGTTTTTCCCCCCAGTCTTTGTTCTCTTTGCTTTTCTGCTTTCGAGGATTCTATTGATAATATCCTCTAGTGCAGAGGTTTTTTCCCTCAGCTGTGTCAGTCTTACTCAGCCCATCAAAGGCATTCTTCAGTGTTTTTATCTCTAGCATTTGTCTTTGGTTCTTTCTTAAGATTTCCATCTCTCTGCTTACATTGCCTATCTGTTTTTGCATGCTGTTTACTTTGTCCACTAGAATCCTTAGAATATTAATCATCGTTGTTTTAAATTCCCAGTCTAATAATTCCAACATCTTTCCCATGTCTGGTTGTGATAATTGCTCTGTCTCTTCATTTGTGATTTTTCCTTTAGGTATGTCTTATCATTTTTTCATGTTAGTTAGCTGTGATGTACTGGGTGAAAGGAACTGCTATAAATGTCTTAGTAATATGGTGGTGAAGTGTGAGGGGAAGGGGAAGAGTTCTGTTCTCCTATGATTAGTTTTCAGTCTTTTTAATGAGGCTTTGCCTCTGGACTGTGAACTTTTCAAGAGTTTCTGTTTTTCCTCACCCCTTACGTGGGATATTAGGGCTGGAGTTTTTTCCGTAAGATGTTATGGAGAAACCCTAACTTTCGGCCAACCCAATATTTCTCTTTCCCTAGGTCAGTTAGGCTCTGACAATATCCTAGCAAATTAGGCTGTAACTGGTTTCTCCTGAAGGCAGGCCTTGTAAAATACAGAGTCCTTGGTGTATTTCAAAGGATTTGACTCCATTCTTTTGCATGTGAATATCCAGTTGTCTCAGCACAATTTGTTGAAAAGGCCTTTCCCCCCATTGAATTGGCCTTATATTAGTACCAAACTGTCTTGATCACTATAGATTTGTAGTGTTTTGAAACTGGAAAGTGTGAGTTGTCTAACTTTGTTTTTATTTTTCAAGATTGTTTTGGCTATTCTGGGTCCCATGAGTACCAGCTTTTCCATTTCTGTAAAGAAGGCAACAGGGGTTTCCATACAGTGATGCTGAATCTGTAGATAAGCTTGAGGAGGATTACCATCTTAACAGTATTGAGTCTTGCAATCTATGAACATATAATATCATGGATATTTAACATTTATTTAAGTCTTTAATTTCTTTTAAAAATGTTTTGTACTTTTCAGAGTGTAAGTTTTGTATTTCTTTTATTATATTTATTCCTAAGTATTTTATTCTTTTTGATGCTATTATACAGGTTTTTGTTTTGTTTTTTGCGGTATGCGGGTCTCTCACTGTTGTGGCCTCTCCCGTTGCGGAGCACAGGCTCCGGACGTGCAGGCTCAGCGGCCATGGCTCACGGGCGCAGCCGCTCCGCGGCATGTGTGATCTTCCCGGACCGGGGCACGAACCCGTGTCCCCTGCATCGGCAGGCGGGCTCTCAACCACTGCGCCACCAGGGAAGCCCCTTGATGCTATTATAAATGGAATTTTCTTAATTTCATTTTCAGTTTGTTCAGTGCTGCAGTGTAGAAATATAATTGATGCTGGTATATTGATCTTTTATCTTGCAATTCTGCTGAATTTGTTATTCTAATATATTTAGTGGGTTCCTTTTGAAAATCTATATACAGGATTATCTAATTTGCAAATAGAAATAACTTTGCTTCTTACTTTCCAACCAAGATGCGTTTTATTTCATTTCCTTGCCAGCTGGCCTGACTAGCATCTCCAGTATAGTGTTGAATGGAAGTGGTGAGAGTGGACATCCCTGTCTTATTTCTGAAATTACTTCACTACTAAGTATAATGTTAGTTATAGTTTTGTTTACTACATTCCCTTTTTCAGGTTGAGGAATTTACCTTGTATTCCTAGTTTGTTTGGATGTTTTCAGTCATGAAGGGGTATTGAATTTTTGAGTTATTTCTTAGTGGTTACCCTCGGGATTACAATCAACATCATATAACTGTATTTAAGTTCAGTTAATAACCATCTTAATTTCAGTGGTGTACAGAAACTTTGCTCCTATGTAACTCTGATCCCTCCCCTTTACTTTGTTTTTTATTGGTAAACAAATTCCTTCTTTGTGTATTTTTCCCCTTTCAATAGATTTATAATTATTATACTATGTAATTATCTTTTAAATTAGGAGGAAAAAAGTTATAAACAAAAAGTACATTTATTGTTTCTTTCATATTTATCCTATACTTATCCTATGTTTTGATTTGTGCTCTTCCTTCATGTTGTTTCATGTACTGGCTAGTGTCCTTTCATTTCAGCCTGAAGGACTCCTTTAGTGTTTCTTTTTGTTTTTTTTTTAAATTTATTTATTTAATTTATTTATTTTTGGCTGGGTTGGGTCTTTGTTGCTGCACGCGGGCTTTCTCTAGTTGCGGCGACCAGGGGCTACTCTTCGTTGAGGTGCATGGGCTTCTCATCGCGGTGGCTTCTTGTTGCAGAGCACAGGCTCTAGGTGTGTGGGCTTCAGTAGTTGTGGCATGCAGGTTCAGTAGTTGTGGCTCGCTGGCTCTAGAGCACAGGCTCAGTAGCTGTGGCGCATGGGCTTAGTTGCTCTGCAGCATGTGAGATCTTCCCGGACCAGGGCTCGAACCTGTGTCCCCTGCATCGGCAGGCGGATTCTCAAACATTTCCCGCGCCACCGGGGAAGTCCTGAAGACAGAATTTTTGAGGATACTGACTCTGCCATTTTCATTGCTGTCCTTAGCTTATTTATTCTTACCTTGTTCTTTCATTCCTTTCTTCACTCCCTTTTACTAGTACTGTTAGATGAGAATTTATCTGGATTTTTTCATATGTGAAATGTGGGATACTGCCAAGGACATTCACTGTAGCAGTATTTACAATAGCAATAGAGTGAAAAACAACCCAGCTGTTCCAAAATAAGGAAGTAGTTTTTTTTTTTAATGGTTCATCTATATATCTGTATGATGGAACATTATGCACATACTAACAATCATATATACAAAGGAAAATGTTTATGATATGATACAGATTGAAAAAACAGTATAAAATAAAATATATTCAAGTTTTTGAAATAAGTTTTGAAAACTTGAAATATATTCAAGTTTTTGAAAATAAGTTTTGTAAAGAGATAAGCATATATTAGCATCAAAAACTCTTGAAGGAGCCATATCAAAATGGTAGCATTTGTTACTTCTGGTTGGTAAACGGTGTTAAGTAAAACAAATTATCTTTGTTCTGTATTATGTACCATAAGGTTGTATTAATTATTTTTTGTTATTAAAATAAAATATACCCATTAATGTGACACACATATTAAACTGTTTTTCATTCGTGTGTTTAATTATATAACTGTTGAGCTTTGGCAATTTAACATTAATTTTTATAAATATTTAAAGAGATTGTTAGAACACATGCTAATAATAACCCTGGCATTGGGGCTAACAAAATATATATGAGCTATTTTAATCTCCATAGTCTACTGTGTAGAACGGAGTTTTGTTGCGCTGGAGTATGTCAGGGTGAATTGTTAGTTAGATGAATAACCTGTAATCTTACTAGCATTTCATTCTTTTTCTTTTCAGGCGCATATTAAATTTCCTATTGACTACCCATATTCACCACCTACCTTCAGATTCTTGACCAAAATGTGGCACCCCAACATTTATGAGGTAAGAGATGTCTATCATGAATTTCTCTGAAGATTTATTTAAGATAATATCCTTTAAAATAGCCTCCATAGCTCAGTATGCTGTGGTAGTTATGCTGTAGCCACAGAGAAGTATTCATGGTTTCCCATTTTTGGTTAGCAGTCTGTAGTTGAATTGCTCAAAAATTGGGGTTTTTTAATACCAGTGTATATTATGGTTAATTTAAGGTTGAGGCTTTAAACCTTTGCTGCTCATTGCTAAGATCATAATTCATATTTGTTAACATTTGCATTTTTTTAATTTAGTAGATAAAGTCATACAAATTTATTTGTGTACCTATCCTCTAGCTTCACAGCAAGGGTTTGTTTGTTGCTTTGATCAGAGATTCAGCTTTGGGACGGGAGGGGGTGGGAATTTATCCTACTATATTTGTACTGGTGTCCTTTAAGGAGTTGCTGCATACCAGTTGAGAGCCTGTTTTGGAATAAATCCAAGGTTAGGTTCTTCTAGTAGACAAGTCCACATGCCTGGGAAAATAATTTGTAGCTTTTTTTATGAAATGTACTTAGCTTTGTGCTAATTTATAAGGATGCTGGAACAATGCATTATGTTTCTCAGGATATATGTCAAGGCCCACTAAAATATCCTTTGAGTCTACTCCTTTACCATTCTGTAATCTTTTTCATTGCAGTAGTGCTGTGAAGTTGTAGCTGAGGCCCAGGCATTAAAATTGTTTTTTAAAATTTGCAGCCTTAGTCATAGTTCCTTTTTTGGTCAGGTGGTTATTGGCAAGCACCTTTCCTCCAGAAACAGAGCTACAGAGCCTTTAAAATGCTTATAGGCAAGGGATGGAGAACTTACTCTATAGTCCTGAATTTGGATCTCAGTCTATAAATGAGCACACTGGGGTAGCTTTATTATTTTTCACAACCTGCTTTTTCTGTCAGTCATTTTCTTCATTTTTCTTTCCTTCTTAAAACAGGACAAACTAGTGCTCAAAAGGTGATGCATAGTAACATTTCCAGAAATAGGTTCCCAGAATATTGTTTTCTTTAGTATCTTTAGTATTTGACATAATCATAGTACAAATAAACAACAATGAATATGTTGTACTATTCTATATAACAAAGTTATCCTGTTGTAGGGAGAGACTATAGAAATAATTCACTGTTCATAAGTTCAAACTGGGTTTAATACACATAGAAATACTTTTCTGTCCCTGTCCATTTAATAATCAAAAATTCTTGCCTTCAGAACTATGTGGTATAAAAGCAACTATACTCCAATAAAAATTAATTTAAAAAATTTAAAAGGAACGTGAATTCAGGAAGAAAAACCCAACTATGTGGTATGTATAGATTTTTTAGATAGCAAAAGAGAAGTGAGAAGGCTCAAGCTTTTTTTGTCTTGCTACTGAGAACTAATTCACCTTAGAGCCATATATTCGCCTGTTTCCATCTCAGTTATCTAATTCTCAAACCCTTCTCAACAAAGAAGCAAAAAGGAAAAACAAAAAACAGAATAAAGGATTCAAAGCTCTTTCAGAAGAAGGTGTAGGTAGATACACTCCATTTTCCACTGCTTTTTCACCACTTAGGTAGGCTATTTAGTCCTGTCTCTTAAGATTTAGCATTGGATCATTGTTTTTTAAAATAGGTTTCATATTCATAATAAAAATTTCAGCAGTAAAATAAAACATGAATATCTTATAAATATGCAGTTGTTTTCCATGCCATAAAAGTTCTGTTTTTAAAGAAGTGTTAAGTCATAGTTAGGAATTAAATTGGATGTAATCAAATGAGTCACAAGAGACTCTTCTCACAAATTAATAATACGTTAATTTACTTTGCTACATTCTGGAAAAGTATCAGAATTGAACTTTTTGAGGGCCCAAGTCAGTATTTGTGATTTTAGACATTAGGGCTCATGGTTCTTAGCCAAAGGGATATTCCAGGAAGTTGCTCTCTCCTCATCCATCTTATGTTGTCACCTAGAAACACAATGGACCTCAATGTCAAATTGCTCTGGTCACCAAATTGTTTACTGCAGAGTTATTTGTAATAGAACTGGAGATGAAATGGGGGAACAGTGGCAACAATGTCAACAGCAACAAGACAAAAATACAAAAGGAAAAGCGTACTCAAATGCCAAAATATGTGAATTGATGAGTTTTTGTATATAATAACTTCATGAGTATTAAAAATATCATAAGGACTATTTTTGGTAGAAAATAGTTTATTTTATCAAGTTTTTAGTTTTGGTTACAGTTTTATTAAATATATTCACAGACACATTACTGCAGCCCCAAAAGTTATAAATACTGCTGTGTTATATGAATGAACTTAATGAATTTAACATTTCTAATATCATTGCCACATTTGTGAAATTTATAAATACCAAGGGGAAGCTCGGAGAACAAAAGAAATTTAATATGAGCTTGTCATCAGTGATCATACTGCACAGTCTACTCCTTTTTGCTTCATAATATGTTGAGTGATCTCAATAATAGTTTCCTGGTTGTGTTTGTTACTGTGTGCTCAGAAGTAGATAACCAATGAAGCCCATTTGCTTCACAAACCATGTATTAAAATGAGGTTTTTGTACACTCTTCACTGTGAACTTCAGAGCTATGGCAACTCAGAATCTCACTGCTCTTAGTATGTATTTATTTAAATAATTTTTTTGGTAATAGACTAATATTTAGAATAGTTTTAGTTTTGCCACAAAATTAAATGGAAATTATACAGAAGTATTTAGCATTTGATGATCCTTTTAGTACTAGTGAATTGTAGGACACAGTATGGCTCTTTCTTTTAAAAAATAATAAAGATGTTGGATGTTTTTTGAAGGAGTATACAGATCATTTTTCCTGTGTAGTGTTTACAGGTGAATGTCACAGGTGTAGTCATGAAATAAATGTTACAGTAAGATGGTGTATTTTAGGATACTTGATAGCCAGTAGGAAAATATTTTACTGTTTTACGTAAGGTTCTAGCTCTGAAGAGTTATTCTTGATTCTAGGCTCAGATGATTCTCAAGACATTATACTAATCTCTGTAGCCACTGACACTGCAAGGATATACCAGTTTGGCTACTATTCCACTATCATTAGGGCATGGTATTTTTAAATGTTATTGTTTTAATAATGATTAAAAATAGATCCTACTGTTTTAATATAACTCTGGCTGCCATAACAAAATACCATAGATGCGGTGGCTTACAATAACAGAAATTAACTTTCTCACAGTTTAGGAAACATAGTTTCTACTGAAGACTCCTCCTGGCTTATCTCTGTGTCTTCATGTGGCTTGAGAGGAGAGAGAGCACAAACTAGCTCTCTGGTGTCTCTTACAAGGTTGTTTTTTGTGTTTTTTTTGTTTTTTTTTTTATTAATTATTGGCTGCGTTGGGTCTTCATTGCTGTGTGCGGGCTTTCTCTAGTTGTGGAGAGCGGGGTCTACTCTTCATTGCGGTGCACAGGCTTCTCATTGTGGTGGCTTCTCTTTGTTGCAGAGCATGGGCTTTAGGTGCACGGGCTTCAGTAGTTGTGGCACACAGGCTCAGTAGTTGTGGCACATGGGCTTAGTTGCTCCCACAGCACATGGGATCTTCCTGGACCAGGGCTTGAGCCCATATCCCCTGCATTGGCAGGCGGATTCTTAACCACTGCGCCACCAGGGAAGTCCCTCTTAAAAGGTTTTTGCCAAGTCTGCAGAGCAATTGCTTTTGGAATAGTAAAATTTAGGCTATGTAAGTGGAAAGTGGGTCTAATTACATATAGTTTATGATCTTTGTATTTATTTATATGGATTATAGCCCATTAGGAGTGAAGTGGATGAGACCCACAATCAGCGCTTCCAAAACTGAAAGAACTCAGTGTATCAAGAGGTCCTTTACAATAAAGCTGTAATTATAAATTATATTTTGAAATTACACAGAAAAGATCAGGTAAAAGCAAAGATACTGTGTCAGTTGGGAGTATTCAGAGAAACAGAACCAATAGGATATATAGAGATATATGTAAGAGGAGGTTTATCATAGGAATCGGCTCACGTGGTTATGAAGACTGAGAAATCCCACAGTCTGCCTTCTGCAAGCAATAGAGCCGGGAAGTCTGGAATTATAATTCATTTTGAGGCCGTAGGACTGGGAGCTGTTGGTATGAGTCCCGGAGTCCCAGGACCCAAGAACTAGGAGTTCAGATGTAGCAGCCCAAGAAGAGAGACAATTTGTCCTTCCTCTGCCTGTTTGTTCTGTTCAGGCCCTCAAAGAATTCGATAATGCCTATCACATCATCATGATGAGGGCAAGTCTTTTTTACTCAATCTACTGATTCAAATACTAATCTTTTCCAGAAACACCCTCACAGATACACTCAGAAATAATGTTCTGCCAGCTATCTGAGCATCCCATAGCCCAGTCAAGTTGACACACAAAATTAACCATCACAGATAGCTCTCTTTTTCTACTATTCCCCCCTTGTCGTCCACATTATGGTCCTTCTATACTCTGTGTACATCATTATGTTCTCAGGGGGTATAATTTGACTGGCACTACACTTGAATCCTTGAAATAGCAAGTTGTTTATAGTAAGGGTTTATGCCCTTCTTATTTCATTACACATAGTAAAATTATATTTAGATAGAAAAACAATGGTAGCCTAGCTGTTTCTGCTTCATCTCCTCTGATCATTTAACACACATTTTTCTCTCTAATTAAATTATTATTCTTTTCTCTGTTTAGTGGAATTATCTCAGAGCTTCTGTGGTGTTTCCGTAATTTCTTTGAGAATTTATTTTAATGGTTTTTCCACCGAAGAATCAAATAATGAACCCCCCAAAATACATTAGGATTGATTACAAAGTTGGAATATTACATTCTCTGATGATCTTTCAAGACTAGGACAAACTGCTTTATTAGTTCATTATTCTTGAACTCATTTCATATAAATTTTAAATACAAAGTTTCTAAATTATAAAAAATTTAGAATACGTTTTGTTAAAATGCTTTGATTTCAATATC